ATTAAAATAGCATGTGAATTTGAATTTATCCATATTTAAAAACACTGGGGAAAAACTTGAAGACACTTGGACCTTATTTACTTTTATTGTAATTTCTTTTTTTCTTTAGTATAAGCAACTTCACTCAGATCTCTGCTCAAATTATTAAGGCTTAATAGTGATTCTTTCCCAGTATGCATCTGCTTCCCTGGTCTTTGCTGCTGACTGTGGTTGACTTTTTGTTATAGCACCTATTACCATCTAGCAGATTACATATTTGTCTGTTGATGTTTTTGTCACTCTCCTGCCCCTTCACTGTAATGACATCTATGCGGCAGGAACTTGGTTTTCTTCCACCGTGTATGAAAGTACCTTGAAGGATACCTGGAAGGTACTAGGTATTAACTAAAAAATTTTTGCATGCATAAATAAATAAATGGATGACCTTGTTTAAATCATCTTGCTAACTTTCTTCTACATTCTGTACATTGTGAGAGGTTTTTTGTTTGTTTGTTTGTTTGTTTGTTTTACTATAGTGAGAATAAAGTATTCCATGGGGGGGCAGTTAGAAGAAAGTTTTGAAAGAATGAAAGAAATTTAATTATGAGTATCATAGTAGAACATTTGAGAACTAGAGCTAAAAAGAATGTCCAAATCCCTTATTTTATATTAAGATAAGAAAACAAAAAGGGAAAAGAATCACCCATAGAAAGTCATTGACCAAAGCTGGGGCTACATTCTACTATTTAATAAATACAGTCCTTGATGTTGAAACAGAGAAAGTAATAGAAAACAACAAAGTTGCTTAAAAGTGGTGCATAGAACAACCTATGGTAATTGGGTATTGTCATGGTGCATTTTCAAAATGCTTATGAGGGTATGATTAAAATGTTTAACTCAAGTTAAACTGTACTATTTTGAGTAGAGCCAAGAGAGGCGGATTGTTTGATTTGCCAAAAAAACGTGTTTGTCAAGAAGAGTATATCTTTCCCAAAAGTTTTCAAATACATGCAGTTTTGATACTTTCAAGTGTCAATTATGTTGACAGCTTGATGAATTCATCTTCATTAGCCCATCTGTCTCATTTACCTGACAACTTCTGTTTTCTTAGTTTGATGTATTTCTTAAGTCTGCTTGTAGAGGTGAAGTTCACAGGTTGCTGGATTTTCTCTAGCTCCCGCCAGTCCATTTTGTTACTGCTCTCCATGGGGCTCACCATTTCCTATTATTGATTTCCTGTAAATTCCTTATAACAGATATTGTAGAACAGTCCCTTTCAGAAAAGTATCTAAAATTTGTAACGAATTTTCCAAGTAGTTTCTTAGAAGAACCATTTAGCCAGTATATATGTATTTTCATAAGGTTAGAGTTCATTCATCATTGGTTTTTGCTTTATATTTTCCATTTCCAATTCTTATGAAGTAATTGGTCTTCCAGGAACTAAGATTTCTCTAATTTTTTGTCTTGCCTATTTGTCTAAACTTCAAATGTTTAACTTATAGACCTCATCTCATATCACAAGCCTGTGCATTGTGGTTATTCTAGGATAAATATCCACAGAGGAGTATCTGACTGTTTTGTGCATCCCAGTATGTATACCCCAAGATTGAATGGTGCATTTGGAATGCATACTAACTCTCAGGTGAATGGAGTTTGAATTTTCATAGGAACAGGAAGAGAGAGAAGCATGCAATGGGTCAAGAAGTAAGGGGTAAAAAAGATGAAGGATAAAACTGAATGTTGACCAAGGTGTGGAATAAAAGAAACATTTCTCATCTTTATGTTTTAATTTGAAATTTTTTAGGGGAGTCAAAAGGAAAATATATCCAAATTTTTAGTTTATATTATATTTATTTTCTAATGTTACTAGATTTTTGTTGTAACATGTTATGAACAATACTTATAAAATAATAAGCATATAAGCAGTATCCAGAATTGTTTTATGTAGAGATTTAGCTTAATCTCACTCTTAGATTAGCAAAATCAATGAGTTAGATTCAGAGGTCTCTTATCTCAGGTTTCTCACCTACATTTGGTTTCTATAGCCATGAAATGTGCACACCCATACCCTTCATCATGGTATTCCAATAATATTGCTCTGTACCCTGTTGAATAAAAAAGCCTTGATGGTTACAGCAAAACATTATGATACAGTATTTTAACTATGCTGAAAGTTTATCAAAAATTCACAAGCTATATAAAAAATCCAGGTTAATCTAGATAATATCTCACAAAGTGGAAGAAGATACCAGTTTGAAGAACCATTCTCTCCTTCATCCCATGAACACAGGATCTGTGCCTTCTGGAAGAGCCAGATAAGGACCCAAAGCATCCATGAAATACACTCAGACTAGCACAGACTCATTGTCTTTTATGCAAGAAACTATCACTACTGATGTTTCATTGTAACATAATCATTTCATGTGAGTTATCTACCTCTATAGGCCTGTGACTTTTTTCAGGGAAGGGAATTTTTTTTTAATGTTCTAGGGGAATAGCATAGAAGTATGAGCATTTGATAGCCAAGAAATTTTGGATTCATGGTCTTTGAAGAACCTGGAGAGTGGTTGTGGTACTACAATGTTGGAGTTAGTCAAAGGCATCAATTAAAATAGATAATAAATGAGACTGAGATGTGTTTTATAAAACTTAGATTAATAAGCTTACTTTTATTTCTAACAAATTTTTAGAATGGACCCAGGCAATATCACTTAGAAACACACAGCAAAGATACCACCTAGATTTTTAGAGAGATTGCTTTTATCAGACACACTCCAGTAAGTATCTGTTTATATGCAAAGCTGAAACCTAAGGGTTGGATGGTAGCTTGATGGAACCAGTGGAGCAAGTCTACCTGTAGAAGGGAGCCAGTGACCTTTTTGGAAACTGTTATTTTTAAATTGTGCTGGCCTGTTCATTACTTTTATCAACAATTTGGTTGGATGAGGACACAGATAATCATGTTTGCTTTTAATCCTGTAATGTCATAAAGCTTGGAAGCAATTATGACTGTGTGGGATGCCAAAATCAGAATTTTAAAAGCTCCCAAAAGACTGCTATGTATGAGTAATGCCTGCTAAGCTCAGGAAGCAAATACCAAATATCTTATGTGATCTTAGTTTGCATTGTTGGGAATATGGCATCTAAATTGGATAGGCAGTAGCACTGCTCTTCTCTGCATGGGTGGGCACAGAGGATGATTACCCTAAGTGAACTCTAAAAGTGTATGCTCCAGGAAATTAAGGGCATGGAAGATAAAAGAATTTGAACCAACAGAATATGTTTAATGGATAACAGAAGACTCTTCAGGGGTATGAAAGAATTTGTACAAATCTGAGATTTTGCTTAAAGAAAAAAATTAAGTTAGTTTCAAGGTGGGGAAAAATAAAGTCCAATCAATGTAAGCAAATAGAGAGGAAAAAACACTTTTCCAAAAATTAGTATTCATCAATACACAGCCCTAGACAAGTGTGGAAAACTCACTGTGTCATCCTGAAAGTGATGGTGGCTACTCAATATAAAATTATTCAACAGAATAAAAATCTAGCACTTTTTTTTTCTTAAAAATTCATTAAACATTATCGGATCCAAATATTATCCCTTGATTAAGAGGATACTGAATGTCAACCAACTCTCTGGAAATAGAAAATTAATGCAATAACCTCTTTCTTAGAAGAAGCAACTAGAGGCTGAAAGGGAGGTGATGCTGATGAGTGCACACAGGTATAGTACAGGATGCATTCTTTAGCCTTCAGGGAAATGCAAATCAAAAACACACTGGGGCAGGGGCAGGTGTGGCTCAGTGGCACAGCACTTGCCTAGCATGTGTGAGGCACTGGGTTCTATTCTCAGTGCCACATATAAATAAATAAATAAATATCCACCAACATCTAAAAAAAATTAAGAAAACACACTGAGATTTCATCTTACTGCAGTCAAAATTGGTATCATCAAGAATAGAAGCACAATAAATGCTAATGAGGATTCACGGATAAAGAAAGCTTATACAATATTGATGGGATTGTAAATTAGTGAAGCTACTGTGGCCATCAGTATGGCAGTTCCTAAAAAACTTAAAAATATAACTAACATATGACCCAACTATACCACTCCTCAATATAACCCTGAAGGAATTAAAGTCAGCATATCATAGAGATACCTGCATTCCCATGTTTATCATAGCACAACTCACAATAGCCAAGTTATAGAAGCAGCTCAGATGTCCACCAAAAGATAAATAGGAAAAGAAAATGTGGAATATAAACATGATGGAATATTATTCAGCTACAAAAAATGAACAAAATTATGTAATTTTCAGGAAAATGTATGGAACTAGAGATCATCATGTTAAGCAAAATAAGCCAGACTCAGAAATTCTGACAAATATCACACATTTTCTCTCATATGTGGAATATAGAAAATAAAAGATGATATGAAAGTAGAAAGGAAAGTATCATAGAAGAGAAAGGGAACAGGGGGAGGGGAAAAGTAGGGTAAAGAAAGGTAATGTGGGGTGAATATAACCAAAAATGTTATGTACCTATATTAATATGTCACAATGAAACCATTATTCCATATAATCAATATGCACTAATAAAAAATAAACTTAAAAAAAGGGGGATGTTTTCCTGTGATGTAAATATTATCAATACCTTGGTCTTCCTAAAGAAAATAACCCAGAAATTAATATTTTAGAGAAATAAATATGGAGTTGGAAGCATCAAAATATGGTAGCTTCACTTTCAATTTTTAACAGAACTAAATACAGGTTATATTTGAAACAAATGTGTTATTTTCTTAGAATTTCACAAAGTGAGTCACCAAATCTGTGAGAAAGGAAATGCAAATTTATCATGAAAAAAAAATTGATGTAGAATCTTCAAAGTATCTTACCACAAGATATGAAATCCACCATTCTATTTGAATTTAAACTAATCATTTCAAATAATTATATCAAATAATACTTTAATTTTTCATGTGTATACTCACAATATATTTATTACTTCTCTGCTTATTTTTAGGGTACTTTGAATCCCTATTGTGTGTTATGGGATGACTCAAAAACGTAAGTGACAGATGTTTTCTTACATTATTTTGAACTAAACATTCAAAGCACATTAAATTATTTCAGCTGCCTGCTAGTTAACAGGAATATGATAAGTCAGTAGGATGTGAGTTATACACAGAAAGAAAACATTCTCCTCTTTGAATCTGTAAGACAGCGTGATGAATGTGTTTGTGTGTGATGATGCCATTGGGTTACTTCTTAAGAAAGGATTGCATTACCTAATGTGTAAAGCACATTGCAATGTAAATTCATTGAGGGCTTTTTTAAAAGCTCTGAGATTTTAGAATTATAGAAGCTCAAATACTATTTCAATATCTTGTCCTAGTAATTCAGCTTAGCATTTCAGAATAAAACAGCAATCTCTATGGTCATTTAGCTCAAACATTACTTGCATGACCTTGTGTCTATTATCAGAATAAAGCAATATTTATATGGTCCTTCCAAACTGCATTCTTATAAAAGCACTGAATGATATCATCTGATTTTTATTCATACGTTTTACAAATTCATGAAGACAAAAGAAAATAATTGTACTAAATAGAATGAGTACTTCTTTCATGATTTTTTAATTGTCAGTACAAGTAATTGCAATGAATCTGGTCAAACTCATATTTATCTCGTTGATAATTCTAAGAGATTTTAATGTCTCAAAAAGTAGGGGAAAAAAACCATAGTTAAGTCTAAGACTTCAATACCATATATATTTACTGTGGCTTCCAAATTCTTTTTGGCCTTTTTTGGGGGGAAGGTTTTGTTTATTTTGTTTTATTTTCTTTGCTTTTGCGTGAAGAGGAGACAAGTATGAATCAATCCCTAACGTAAACACTACCATGTGTTTTATGTCAGAGCACCATGTTGTTGAGCTCTGTGTTTTCTAAGAATTTTCTCTGGAGTTCTTCCCCTGAGATTTGTTCTACATCTGAGGTTTGATGAAGTCACTTCCTCTCCCAGAGTCTAGAAGAGGAACATGCTTAGAATTTCTAAGAAAAGGGCAAACCCCCTGATACTCTTCTCAGTCCTACCATACTGATATAATTTAAACTACAATTATCTTCATGGGAATGACAAATCAATAATGTTAAGCAATTTTTTACTATAGGTTCTGATGTCTTATGGATCCTCTTCTCCAGGAACCTAGTACCATAAAGAGATGCCCAACTTGCTCTGGTAGTAATACGAGCTGGTTGCCCTTACTGATGCCATGATTATCTTCTTTATGAAATCTCATAGAGAAATTTATGGTAGAAAAATGCTCCCAGGCTTTGCCATTTCTACCATTAGCTAGAGAAGACTGGTGGTATATTTTAAGATGCTGCTTGGTGTGTTGTATAGCTGAGGGAAAAGTGAAATGCTACAAAAATCTAATTGAATATTTTCTGCTCAAGGAAAAACTCCTCATTATAGCTATTTTAATATCCATGAATAATAACTAACTTTGACTTAGTTTTGTTATCTTTTAGTAGGAAGAATGTGGTTGTATATTGATACAAACAGGGGAAAGTATTAATTATTCCCAAAGTCCTTTAGGACTGTTCAAATGACACTATAAGAAGACCCAGTTGCCTGCTTCACACCTTCTGTTAGTTTCCTTTCACAGACAGTGTAATGTGTTAAATTTAATTTAAAAACTATTGGTGTTTGAAGTCAGAGTTAATCTTCAGAATCAACCACACTCACTTCCCCTGACCATGGTCTTATCCCTCTCAAAGAACATGTGTAGTTTTACAAAACTCAACTTTCCACTTGTCCTTGAAGAAAACTAACCTGGAAGAGGAGATGTATTTAGCTGTGTTTCAAAGCAGATAATTTCAAGAGATCAATGTAGTTCGTGTTTCCTTGAAGTATCTGAAAACGATCAAAAAGCTCTCCTTTGTGACAGAACTTCTGTCCCATCTTGCTTTTTATCAGATTGTCTCATCATTAAAATTATTTTTCTGGGTGAGTTTTTAAACAGTGAAGGTTAAGACAACTTTATTTCTTCTTTCACATCTGTTTTTCTGTTCCGATCATGTTTGGTATTAAACAATATTGTAGATCCTTCAAATATAGTTAATAGTGGAGAGATAATACTACTTTTTGAAAAATACAGACAAGAGTTAACTTAAATGATATCTTAAAGATCTCAATAATAAAGTTGTGATTCGAAATTGTGCTTTGATTTTAGTTTATTAAGTTTTCATCCTGTTTAATTTTTAAAATTAATTTTTAATAACAAAAGCAATTCATTCAAATATTTTACTTATAAAAGTTGAAAACCCACTGTTAAGGTAAAAAGATTCATTAATCATCACCACCTTGGGGGATCCAACATGGCGGCGAGAGGGGAGGCAGTGCTTTCAGTACCTCCTCAACAACGGGGTCAGAGAGACGCATGGATACGCTTAGATTCGACCTGCTGAGAAACTCCTAGCAAAATTCCACTAAAGAGAGACCGGCCGGGAATTGGAAGGATTTTTGGAGGTGACAGTCTGCGCTAGACGAGTGAATCTCCGCCACGCAGCGCAGAGGTCCAGACCCGCCAGCCGCTGCCCGCGCGACTCGGCGACTGTCGGCTGCCTGCACGCGGCCCCCGCGTCAGGGCGGATAGCCTCCGAGGCGCAGCGCAGCAGGAGCAGTGCAGGGACTCTAGGAAGAGGTCTCTCGCCAAGCCTTCATGAAATAGCAAACCGGGAGCTGAAACCAACCAGACAGACCATTCCCACCCCTCCCTTCGGACACTCCGGCAAGGAGCCTGGGGCCCGCCATAGCAGAGTGGTGACATCACCAGAGTTCCGCCGACAGAATTCCTTCCCAGCGGAATCCACATTAGCAGGTGTGTGACTCCCACCCCCTCCAGATACAAGCAGCCAGGAAACCACCGAGGGCGTGTCTGTAGGGAAGCAGAGGGGATTCCAGATCCCCACCTCCCCTTAACACCAGCGGCGACACCCAAGATCTTAGCCGCCAGTTTCTGGGGGCGTGCCCACCAAAGGGGTCCGGAAAAATTAAACTGTTGTTTCCCAGATCACCCCACCACAGCACTGGGGCTTAATTGAATGACAGAGAGGGTGTTCATTGTTCGGGATATAGGACACGCGGTGGGGCTGCAAGTGTAATCAGATCCTTGGGGAACCGCCTCTGGTGAAAAGGACCTGGCTGGCTGGCTGGGAGGAGGAACAGGGGGAGGGGCCGGATAAGTGAAAGGGCTATGGACTAACAGGATTGAGAGGCTCCCAGGAGCCACCGTACAGGGATTTCTGTCAGCACATAGAGGGCAGAAGCTCGGCTCAGAGGGCACAGCTCCGCCTATTGGAAGAGAAGAAAATGGGATTCAGCCATAGAACAGGGGATGCCAGCATGGCAGAGATCTGATGTCATCGGAGAGCGGCCGAGGTGAAAACTTCATCGGTGCCAGCGGCGACGGAAACAGTTGGTCCCCTGGTAGGGAGGGTGAGTCACAGATACCCGAGTCTCTCTCGCTTTGTCGTCGAGCCAGAGGGGAGGAGAGGGGCTGCCGCCCGCACCCGCAAAGTAGGCAGACCTGCGACCAATCAACCTGCAGATCAGGCCCAGCGGTCTGCAGGCGTGGTAGGAGGGGCAGGGCAGAGCCACCGCCCGCGCTGGCAAGGTAAGCAGACCTGCGACAGACCGGTGGATCAGGCCCAGCGGCCTGCCAGCGCAGTACACACTTCATCCCAACTGGAGTAGGGGCAGAGCAGAGCCTTCGCCCGCGCCCAGATCAGGCCCAGCAGCCCGCCTGTGTGGTGGTCAAGTGACCCCAATTGGAGTGGGGGCGGAGCGGAACTGACACCCAGCCCGCAAGGTGGGCAGACCTGCGACCAACCTGCAGATCAGGCCTAGCGGTCCCCGGGCGTGGTAGGAGGGGCAGGGCAGAGCCTCCGCCCCCACCTGCAAGGTAGGCAGACCTGCGACAGAACGGGGGATCAGGCCCAGGGGTCCGCGGGCGTGGTAGACACCTCACACCAATTGGAGGAGGGGCAGAGCTGAGCCCCTGCCCGCACCTGCAAGGGAGACTTTTCAACTATACAAGAGCAATATAAATATATAGGGGGGGAAAAACTTTCAAAAACACAACAGTTTCACCAAGAAGAAAGAAACGCAAGCAGTATGAAAAGACAAGGAAAGAAAGGACTACAAGCAATGCAGGTCAGCTCAACTTTAGAAGAGGTAACAGCTGCAGCAGATGGAATGTCAGATAAAGAATTCAGGATATATATGCTTCAGATGATCTGGAGTATCAAGGAAGAAATTAGACAGCAAAATCAGACAATGAAAGATCACTTCGACAAGGAATTACACAAACAAATCCAGGAAGCAAAGGATCAATTATACAGGGAGATAGAGGTTATAAAAAACAAACAAACAGAAATCCTAGAAATGCAGGAAGCAATAAACCAACTTAAAAATTCAATTGAGAGTACTACCAGCAGAGTAGAACACTTAGAAGATAGAACATCAGACAATGAAGACAAAGTATTTGAACTTGAAAAGAACATAGACAGCTCAGCAAGATTGTTAAGAAACCATGAGCAGAACATCCAAGAAATATGGGATAACATTAAGAGACCAAACTTAAGAGTCATTGGGATACAGGAAGGTATAGAACTCCATACCAAAGGAATGAGCAATTTATTCAAGGAAATAATACGAGAAAACTTCCCAGACTTGAAGAATGAGACAGAATCCCAAATTCTAGAAGCCTACAGGACGCCGAATGTGCAAAATCATAAGAGATCCACACCTAGACACATTATAATGAAGATGCCCAACATACAGAATAAGGAGAGAATTTTAAAAGCTACAAGAGAAAGGAAGCAGATTACATTTAGGGGCAAGCCAATAAGGATAACAGCTGATCTTTCAACACAGACTCTGAAAGCTAGAAGATCCTGGAATAACATATTTCAAACACTGAAAGAAAATGGGTTCCAACCAAGAATTGTGTATCCAGCGAAATTAAGCTTCAGGATGGAAGATGAAATTAAAACCTTCCACGA